TATGGGTATTCTGCAGAATCATCCTAAGAGACTTCTTACTAACTTTAGGGTTTAGGGTTTAGGGTTTAGGTTTATATCGCTTGGGGTCCCTTGGCCAATTTGAGAAACGTCATATCCATCCACTTCTTCATTTTGCCTTGAGCACCAGTAGGGCAGGGTTGGTGTAGGAACTTGAGCAGCGAACTAATCATAGGAAAGGGTTTAGGGTTTAGGGTTAGGGACCACAATCGCATTTTCAGTAGATTGTGTTGGCCCTTATGACCCATCCAGGGCTTCTGTTTACAAGCTGCTTCTGACCTTTTTACATAACGCCTTCTAGTGGGGTTCACAAAGCCCTAGACCTTGGCCAAGTCCCACATCAAGGTCTCAAGATTTCATAGGGGTACCCAGACCCTCCCCTATGTAGTTCCTTTTTGGATAGTATACTACTATCCCTCAGCGAAAAAACCTTAACAAATCCAAAAAGGAACTACATAGGAGGTTTGGGGTAGATGCCTACCAAACTGCGGGTCGAGTGCCTTAAATCCTCGAGCCGCAGCCCCTCAACATCCTAGTTTAAGTTTCAGGGTTTGGGGGTTTAGGATTTAGGGTGTAGGGTTTAGGTTTAGGGGTGTAGTAAGCTCTAACTCTTATCTTTAAACCTTCAAATCCCATCAAAGCCAGACATTCAAGCTTACGCCTTGCCCCGAACAAGCATGACACCCCCAAATGGACGAAGGGGGGCTAACTGGGGCTTCATTTTCTTCAGGGAGGGTGTTCTAAACCCAGGCCATCCCCAAAAGTCCCTGAACTTTACTGTTGATAGTAGACATCCTGCATGATCGCAGTATACCGTAGCACCACAATTTCCACCAGGTACAAGGTACTTGGAGTCATGCAGGATTTTTTTAGTATCCACCTGTTGATAGTAGAGATCCTATCTAACTTTAGTATACTGTAGCAGCACGAGTCCCCAGGTATGAGGTACTCAGCGTCATGCACATCACCCAACCCTTCTCCCTGAACCCTACCTTTAGGGACCCTGGAGTTAGCTAGTATAATATGACCCCCTGATAAGCCCATTATAACCCGATTGTAAGCCATCCCTAAACCCTAAACCCTAAACCCATTACTAACTCCAGGATTCCTCGAAGTAGACCCCCCATCTCAAAACTCCAAATCCCAAACCCTTTGTCCAAAATCCGGGTCGCTGTGTTTCCATTTTCCATTATCGCTATATAACCCCAATCTACTATAGGAGTTTCCATTTTCTTTTCCATTATCGAATGGACTAAACCCAAAATCCTAAACCCTAAACCCGAAATCCCCGAGCATGGATGGTGGAGGATCTGCATTCCTATCCCCCCGAAGCGGTGCACGCCGGGATCTGAGCTTCGGCTTGGCTTTCAGTCCGCCACGGTTTAGGGTTTAGGGTTTAGGGTGTAGGGTTTAGCGTTTAGGGTTCAGGGGTTTAGGGTTTAGGTTCATAGGACTTAGGCTTCTCTTGATATAACCCGAATACAACCCAAATATTACCCCAATTTAGCCAGGATATTAACCCCAATATAACCCTAATATTACCCTAAACCCTAAATCCTAAACCCTAAACTCTAAACCAGTGGAATTGGGCATTGGCTTGAAGTTTCTTTTTTAGCAATACATTGGTTTCCCATGCGCAATGCTCGTCGTGAAGGGTCTGGGGGATCGGACGAGCATGCCAGGCATCTCCTTTGTATAGCAGGCTTATCATAGACAAGCCGCAGCATGCTGTTATGTGGGATCCAGTAGAAAACAATTGAGAATGTGCCGGGCATAGATGTGATAGATGTGACATCGAAATTTGAATTCTTGGATACCCTAGCCTCACACCCAACACTCATTGTAATATACGAGCCTGAATGAAAACAAAGGTCCTAGATTCCTTGTATAATTGTGGCTTATAGGGCGCCTCAAACAGACCTCAAACTGATATAGGCAATTATTCAAGGCACCAGGTGAAGAGCTCCAGCTCTGGGTTAATGTAGACACTGGGTTCAGGGTTCAGCGGTTGCTGTGATGTGATGACCAGTGCTGTCGAGCAGCAAAGCATCGCCGAATGCATCTCTGTGCGACATGCTGCTGTGGCCCGATAGTGGCTAGCAATCTAACATATTCACCCAGTCACACCGTCTGACACGGCCAAACGGTCCAAACCTATATACTGTATTCCTTCAGGACTTAGGACCTAATGTCACGTAGATCCTGGTCAACAACACAATTATGTCTCCACAGCCAAGCCTGTGAGTTCTGCAAGATCCTTTGGAAGGCTTTCTGATTCACAGGCTCTTTCAGGGCTTGGTGAGGCCTGTGTTGTCAGCAGAAGCCAGGACAGGTGTTCGCAGTGCAGCTACTACCGCTCCAAAGGCTTTGGTTGCTGTTAAGGAACTTTAATGGTAGTTTCCCTATGTAGGGGTACCCCAATATAAACCCCAAAATATTCTAATGCCTATTATAGGGACCCCCAAAACGGTACTCCTAATTCTGGTAAAATCCCAAATTAAAGTACCATACTAAGATGTACTAATTTCAGTTCCTTAACAGCAACCCAGATGGTTGTGGGTTGGCGGGCTATCAGCTCGGGTCAACCTGCGCGATTGAGGTCGAGGGCCTGATATGGTAAGTGGTTTAGGGTTTAGGGTTTAGGGTCATTAGGGCCTAAGGAGTGTGGGGTTGTCAGGAAAACAAGGGAAAACCCAAGTTATAACCGAAGCTGCCCTGTCAAGACTCCCCGACACCCTGTACGTCTTGGGTAAAGGGTAGATGAGTCGGTGACAAGTTTACCCCGTCAAATCCACCGTGCCGCAACAGTCAAGCATTTAAGCCTCAAATAAACCCTAGACCATTTTATCCCGCCCCAGGGCGTTCCGAGCAGACGGAAAAGGGCCAGCCTGCTAAAAAACTAAACCCTAAATTCTAAACACTATATAACCCATTATAGTAGTTTCCATTTTCTTTTCCACTATCCGTATATAACCCTAGTATAACCCCTGTATAACCCCAATGTAACCCTAAAATTACCTTTAAACCTTAACTCTGAGTTGAACTTCGTGTAACTAGTCCTGCCTTTCTCAAGTGGAAAAGGTTTTCTAAAGACTAGCTTCAAAGCTTCTGGTCCCCCCTTAAGTAGAGTTTAGGGTTTAGGGTTTAGGAGAGAATATGAGTTTTGGTTTATTATAACAAGATCCCCATACATCCCATTATCTACTTACGCCACGGTTAGGGTCTAGGAATTCAGCTTGAGGATTCAGGGTCTAGGGTGTAGGGAAAGCTCATATAGGGTTTAGGGTTTAGGGATATGGGAGTTTCTTGAGACGCTCCCTACATAATCCCAGTAAGGCCCACCCTTTGTCCCCTTGTAATGCCTACAATTTTGTTTGGTTCCTTGAGGGCCCTACTTGTTGAGAACCCCCCATACGGTTGAAGGACAGAATCCTGCATGACCTTAGGTATGCTTCATTACCATCATGTGTTTAGGGGTTTCAGGTTTAGGGTTATACTTCCTAGGGCTTAGGCTAGAGCATGTAGGGTCATGCAGGATTTTTCCAATAAACCCTAAACCCTAGACCCTAATTCGTTTGTTCGCCAAGGTCCGAAACACCTTCATCCATGTGGCCACGCCACTGGCTCCGGATGAGGCCATCCTGGACCCGCTAGCACTTGAGTAGTGTTTCATGTTGGGTTCAGGGTGTAGGGATTTGGGGTTTAGGGTTTAGGGTTTGGGTTTAGGGTTTAGGGTGCAGGGTTTAGGGTTTAGGGTTTGGGGTTCAGGGTTTGTGGATACCATGGTCCTCCAGAGAAAGACACAGAGTATCCTTTGGTACAGAGATTTTTCAAGGAAAAAGAATCTTGCTGGGTTCAATCACCAACAAAGATGCTACTCACCTGACCTCACCACAGATGATATGAAACAAGGTGCCTACATGGAATTTGTTCGATTTGTTCCTACAACTTGCAGATCCCTCTTGGGCGTGTCCTGTAAAGATCCCAATACGCTGGGGTATGTAGGGGCTCGAGTCAGTGGCGGTCGAGGAAATCTGGCACCGTTCCCATGTTGACAATGAGCAACATTATAGAGCACATAGACCTCGCATCCAAACCCCATACCCTAAACTTGAAACCCTACACCTCGTGCCTGAAACCTGACTATTCTAGGTATTCAGGACCTAAAGTACGAACTTTCTCAAGTCATATTGGCCTTGAACCGTTGCCGCTTTCAGCTTTATACCGCAAAGCTCCACTGCGCCAAAGAGCCTCTGGACCTTGGTTTATAGGTGTTGGAGGCGGGGGTTTAGGGTATAGGTTTAGGGGTTTAGGGTTTAGGGTATAAGAGTACTATAGAGGATCATAAAGAGCCTTTCCACAGATCCGCTCCTCGACTATCCCCTGAGCACCAGCAACAGCAAGTTCAGCCTGGTTTTTGGGGTAGTAAGGTTAGGCTTGAGAAGAGGGAGGGTAAATCTATCCTATCATCAAAGCACATTTTTGCGCATGTTCTGCTAGTGTCCGGGGTCTAGCTGTTTGATTCTGAATTCTGCAAGTCTATCATGTGCCTGGCACTGTGAAGGTTGTGGCAGCAGGAACAAGTGTAGGCCCCACCGACCCCACCCACTATAATATACCATAAAATACCATAATATACCATAAAATACCATAATATACTGTAATATACCATAATATACCATAAAATACCATAGAATATCTTAAAATGCCATAAAATTCCATAATTTGCCATACCATAATATACCATAATTTGCCATAATTTACCATAAAATACCTTTTAAAAAACATAATATACAATGAAATCCCATAATATACCATAATCTTCCATAATATTCCATAATATACCATAATCTCTAATGAACAAAGTTCTTTGTGTCTTTCTAGGCTTTCTCTCTGCCCAGACTCGTAGGGTCATGTGCTCTGTGCTGGAGCGCTGAGTTTGTCTTCCAATCAGTGGCGCCCTTGAGCGCCTCTGAGCACGGATGCGGAGTGTCTGGGATTGTTCCGAGAAAGAGCTCATATGTGCTGCTGCAGAGGGCCGCATTTCAGACGTCAAAGCAATCCTGCGGCGCGTGCAGAACCCCAACGTGTGGGACGAGCATGGGGAGTCACCTCTTGGATGCGCAGTTCGCGGTGGCCATACTGAGGTGGTGCGTTTACTGCTGAACGCCCGGGCTCGAACGGAGCGGAAGGCGACAAAACAAGTCCCGATGTTGCACGTGGCATGCGAGAGGGGAGACCTGGAAATTGTATGTATGCTCCTGGCGTATCGTGCAGACAAGAATTCCAAAGACAGACTCGGCACAACTGCAGCCAAGCTGACGTTCAGGATATGGTGTTCCAAAATTAAGGGTGCCTTTTTGGGTAGATCGTTGTGCTTTGGGGTCCATACTGGGTCTTCCTATTTATGCAAACTACCATATCACACGGTTGGCCTGTGTGGGTTGAAATGGACTCTAGATTCTAACATGTGAGAGTTTCTCAGCGTTAGTGGGCGTCAGAACTGCTCAATACATGGTAGCTCTTAGTAAGGACCTCCAGAAGGGCCCTAAACCCCAAACCCTAGACCGCGTACAAATACTGGCAAAGTATAGTGGCTTCAACTGACCTCAAGCCAACAAGGGCGCTATATAGGGCATTATATTGGGGAGTATTATAAGGCTTGTGAAGGGAAATACCAGGAGTTTAGATTGCAGCTCATATGCAAAGTTGACTCCTTGAACAAATCTGAGAAGTAGATCCTGATATGAGCTATCGTCTAAACTCCTTAAGAGGATTATGTAGGGTCCCTATTTTAGGGCTTATTATGGGGGATATTAGGAGTCTAGACTATGGCGCAAATAAACCCTTGAGAACCTTTGTAGAATCCCCATTCGATTCCCTAAACCCTAAACCCCACTGGTCTGAGGATCTAATTTTTAGATCTGATTCTCAACTCGGGGCTTCGAACCTCAAACCCCCAAACCATAGAACGGTTTAGGGTTTAGGGTTTAGGCCTAAAACTTGCAGTTCTAAACCCTAAACCCCCTGAACTTTGAACCCCAAACCCTAATCTGAAACGCCTAAATGGCCAGCCAAGGCGTTGATTCGTGCAAGTGCGGCCGACCAGTTGGACATTGTTCACGTGCTGGTGCAACTTGGCCCCTCCCTGGCTCCCAAAGCCATGTTGTGTAGGGTTTAGGGTTTAGGAATTAGGGGTTTAGGGTCTGGGGTTTAGGGTTTAGGGTCTAGGGTTTAGGGATTGGTGAATCTGGGGTGTGGGGTTTAGAGTTGAGAAGTTTTTGGCAACTCCATAGGGAGTTCAAAGCAGAGTGTAGATCCACAAGAATACTCCCCAGCAAACCCCAAGCCCTAAACCCCTAAACCCTAAACCCTAAGGTTTAGGGCTTGGGTTTAGGGTTGTTGGGTTTAGGCTTTAGGGACCCTGAGCCGTCAGCCGAAACCATAAACGACCGACCCTTCAGGTTGCCAATATTTGGGATTTAGGGTTTAGGGTTTAGGGTTTAGGGACTGGGTTGCTGCTGACGAACTTGTAGTAGATTAGTATGATAAGGACACTCCAATTTTAAGTATATACCGATTATATGGTAACTTAAAGCAAAACCCTAAACCCGATAAGATGGCAACTTAAACCCTAAACCCTATATATCCATATGATGGACATTTGAATTAAGGCCATGAACAGCAACCCAGACGAAGGTTCGGATTTCAGGGCCGCTTTTCTCTCAGGTCCAGGGAAAGGTATAGGGTTTAGGGTTTAAGATTTAGGGTTTAGGATCTAGGATCTAGGGTTTCTTTGGGGTTTAGGGCCAGGGTTTAGGGGTTTAGGGTTTAGGGTTTGTGGAGTTCCCAGATGCTTGCTCCAGTTTTGTGGTATGTTTCGTTATAGCTACAGGAGTTTTTCCTTGAAACCCAAACCCTAGGTATGCAAGGGCTGACACCAACAAGACTGACAAATTCAACGGGACGGCCCTGAAGTATGCCGCCTCTGAGGGCCACACTGAGATCGTGCGAGCGCTGTTGACAGCAAAGGCCGACCTGAGCGTAGCGGACTGGTTGGGCATCTCCACCCATATAGCACGCTTTGGTTCTAGTTTCTTCAATTAAAAAATTCTCTTTTGAAAGGAGAGGTTCTCCATAACACTTGAGGAATACAATGGTCCATATAGAAAAAGATTGGATCCTTCTTTTGCGTAGTCCTGGGTAAGAGCAAACGATATTCTGACCTGGTTGAGCCCGCCAACCATAAAGCCCGAAACCAAAGCCCTAAAGCACCCCGCATTTGAGGCATGACAGCTGTCCGCTGGGCGTCTTGCCGAGGCCAAGCAGACACCAAGCAGCTGCTCATGGATGCTGGAGCTGACGAAAGCGGCTACACTCCTACACCCTTTGTTTGCCTCCTGTTTTTGGGTTGGTCCATTGCATTGGCAGGGGCTGGCATATGTCTGAAGCGGTTTCTACAATCATATGTCTTTGTTCCGACCGCAGCAGATCCGGCGCTTGACGAGACATGCCCGGGCTAACTCGCACGTGTTCAAAACGTCGCGCCAACTTGTGCTGTGTGCCACCTACACCCTGAATAGCAGATATTGTGATCGAGGAAAGACCATGCAAGACCCCGTGACTGTTCTTCCTCTAACTGTATCATAAACAGCAGCCATTCTTCTTCATCAGGAGTGGAATCAGTGATGAACATCTGTGATGTTGAAGCAGTGTGTGTTTTAGAGAAATCGTTGAATAGTTGCAAGAATTGCCTTCAGTAAGTTTAGGCAGAACCCTGTGCCCCTAAACCCCTCATGCCAATCTTAACGCCCCGACCAACCCTGAAGGCACTAAGCCCAAACTTATAACCGAAATCTTCAACCCCAACCTAAACCTGGAAGCCTACATAAGCATGACAGATTTCAGCTTTCGACCTAAACCCTACTCCCCAAAACCCCTAAACCCCTCAACTCTGAACCCCAAACCCCAAATCCTAAACCTAGTAGTCGTGAGCCCTGAACGCCAGACGCTGCTGACCGTCCCGGCAGCCTCGTGCCCCGCCCGGCACATCGGCAAGCTGCGGGAGCTGTGGCAGGCAGGTGGGTAGGGATTAGGATTTAGGTTTGAGGGTTGGGGGATTAGCGTGTAGGGTTTGAGGTTTTAGGTTTTTTGGGTTTAGGATTTGGTGTTTGAGGGTTTGGGGGTTGGGGTTCGGGGGTTCGGCGTTTAGGGTGGCTTGAAGGTTCGTGAATCGAATCCACTGGCCCCTGCCGTTGAAACCCAGCTATAAGTAGTCATGTCATGGGACTTAGCCTTGTAACCGGGTTGTAGGTAAACATCTGAGTAGGTTACAAGTACCTATGGACCTCCAATTGAGGGTTTAGAAGTTAAACCCTTAACACTAAGCCTTAAAGCAGGGTCTGGAGGTTTAGAGTTCAGGGTTTAAGGTTGGAGTTCAGGGGAGAGGGATTTTGTAGGGGTGATATAGGTTTGTACAGGAGTTATGTAGGGATGACAGACGGATATACAGGGTCAAAAAGGAAAGAACATGGAAAATTAAATTGAAGCTCGGCCTACACGTGGCGTTTGATGTTCATAGTTGAACTTGATGTCTAGAGTTTAGGTTTCAGGGTTCAGGGTCTAGGGGTTGAGGATTAGGGTTGAGGACGCACCTAGGTATTGAAAGAATCAGTTTAAAGATAGGTTTAAAGATAGGTGGTATTTTATAGTTGTTCAGAATTACTCTTGTATTTAACAGTCCCCAAGCCCTCAACCCTAAACTGTGTGTTTCGTACTATGCCTACCTAGTGAAGGGTTGATGCCTTCCAGAATGGTCTAGCGCAAGTTGCCTTGCGTCATTCATTGACCCTAAACCCTAAACCCTAATGGCGAAAGGCATTTGCCTGTGCAGCGGATAAAAGAGGCGCTGCAAAAAAGAAAAAACAACTAATGGAGTCTACGCCTCCCTGGTTGTAGCGCTCCTGCTATATGCAGCCCTCTGTACAGAAAATTACGATTCAGACAATAATTTCAATAGTATATTATAGATTATCGTAGGGTTTTCTGGCATATTATAGTTATATAATATAGGGTGCAGGGTTGAGGGTTTAGGTAGTTTCTCTCCAGAGTTGTGGGCGAAGCTTGCAAGATGTGCTCAAACAGCCTAAGTTGTGCCCTGTGACTGTGTTATATGAGGGGTGGTCATTGTGAGAAGATACAGAGATGTTGGTCGGTCACAGTATGTGACCATTTCGCTTTCCAGTTTCTTTTCCAGGTGAGTAGTATTTTATTTGGGGATACTATGGTATCCAAAATAGAGTAAGATTCTATCCTCCTTTTAGGTATAGTATTTTGAATAAGGAACATTATCTTATTAGGTTTAACCACCAAAAAAACGCTACTCAGGTGATTCTGGTGAGAGGAATTATGGCTAAAATATGCCAACCCTCAGCCCTAAGCCACCTGTGACTCCAGTAAGAGGAACTCCTAAACCCTAAGCCCCTAAACCCCTAAACCCTAAACCCTCTATGCGATTCTAGTGAGAGGAATTCCGTGTAAACCTGCTGGATGCCTGGTGGACTTTCCTCAGGGCCAGGGAGTGGGGCAACCT